TTAAAGAAACTCTCAGAGAGATTCAGGTGACGTTGCTATTGAGGCCATATTTTCAGAATCACTTAATGGCTGAGTTGGTGATTCTGAAGATTCAAGTGAAGTTGAGGCTGCAATAGGTTTCAGTATAGCAGATTTGCCTTTTAGTTGATTTGAGTTCATTTCCTTCCGCGCTGATTTATGTGTCGCTAATATGTGTGTTGCTCTTCGTGTGTAGCTTTCATTACTGTCGGATGAGCTGAGCCCTGTTGATATATTCCTTCTACAACGGATTTGTTTTATTGGATGATTGCATATGAGCTTAGGATTATCGAAATTTCTTAAAACACCATCCCAATCAACTTTTCCTGGTGTTTGTACTTCTTCGGCGTCTGAAAATATATTACAATAATCTGTAAACTGATATTCATCGGTAGGCGTTGGTACTTGAAAGACAGTGTTGGTGAAAGAGCAATTCTCAAACAAGCTTGTTACTGGATCTAAGTAACGTTTCCCATGGTATACCGTACTTGTTTGTTTACTTGGTGAATTGTTGTTCTTAGTCGCTTTTGAAACTTTTTTTGGGAGCTTTGTTCCAAATTCGGTAGATGGTGTTTCTTTAAAAGTCGATGTAGTTTTTAAAGATGATTTGAATACTTGAGTATGAGAAACAGGAATTCTAATACTGTCTACTGCAATGGTATTACTAGCAATAGCAGTATGTCTTGCGGGATATATGTGAAATGTGTTCATTTGCTGTTGTTCTTGCTGATCGATTGGAATTGTGATGTAGGCTGTCTGTCGTATATGTTCAGGGGTTTTCGTTTGTGTCGACAAACAGATTGGTGGCAAAGTTATAATATCTCTTGTGGAATAGTAGGGTGTGAGTTGCAAAGAAAAGCATTTATTTTTCGTCGTTGGATTTTGTACTTCGAACCGTTCATAACCTACATAAAGAATATGCTTATTAAAGAGAGGTAGACTTTGATATATTTCTGTACTCTATTTTATGAGAAAGCATGCTTATGTGGAACTTAGCGCTAATGCTGGCATTTATTGACGATTACACTACCTTTGTTTCATACCTTCCACTGATTCTTCATACACTTCACTTATGGGTTGTGTTTCTATATTTCTACGATTCGGTATGGTTTTACCATACGAGTCAACTTTACTGTCTGTTACGTTTGAGTCCAAAGTTGTTTGTACAACTACATCCATATGCGAATCTAAAGAGAACTGCTTACCTGTGGAATGTATAATAATATATATTATATTATATTGTATATTAATATAATTTTATTTATATTATTTTTTTTCATAATGTAATGGTAGCTTCCTTTGAAATCATTAGAATATTCTATTATTCGAAACTATTTCCTTATATCAAGCATGATACTTTTTTATATCATGCACAGTACCAATTAAATGGACGGTACTACTTAAATGTGCTTTAAATATGTGGCCTGAAGAAGTAAAGGTATTCGCAAAAATTTTATATTGGTCTAAAAGAAGTTCTTGTTAAAAAAGATATTCGGGCTATAGAACCTGAACTGAAAGTAGTAGACTACTCGCATCAATTGACTTTTAAAAACTTTTAAAAAATCGATACACTACCTAGAGAACCTGGATTAAAAGAAGTAAATCTCATCTATACAGTTTTTATAGATTTTGAAAAAATTGTTATTAAAATAACAATTTTTGCAAAAAGTTATTAATTTAATTAGTGCGTCAATCTCCAAATAGATAAAAACATGGATAAATATAGAGTGAGAAAGAGCAGAATTTTACGGCATCTAGTAAATATACCACAATAATCATTGTTTTATATACCGCTACTATAAAACCTATTAAAATATATATTTCAAATTTTTCAAATTAATATCCATAAAGACACTTAGTGCCCTTAAGTAGCAATTCTTTGGGATATGGTAACTGGATGTAGAATTGTGTTTTAATTATTGAAGGCACATCTAATAGTTGAGCATACTCTCTTTAACCACAAACCACGTTAACTATGCTCACGCATAATCTACTCTCCAAAACTGAATATGAAATTGGGTATTATATATTATTATTCAGTTCAGAACTATGATATTGTGCTGTAGTAGAATAAATTCGGGATCCGTTTTGTAAATAATATATATGTAAATTAAAAATTTTTTAAATACATATTTTTATATAACATTTTAAATGATATATCAACTTACCAGACATTAGAATTCCTCGAACTCTCCTGCGCATTGAAGGCGATTCCTGATGCTATATTAAGCAACACAATGATTAATAATTGAAAAGAAAATATTTCATAATTAAATATATAAATAAATATAAATTTATTTACATTTAAATACTTACAGCTATTCTGATGCCAGCATAGGTTTTTGCTAGAAACTCATCAGCGTCAAATATCGCGGCAAAAGAACCATTCACTATTTTTGGAGACATTGGAGAATTAGAAAGCAAAAGACTTGAACCAAATGCTTCACTCTTGTCTTTGGTGTCTTTAAGGAATGGAAAGTAATAAATATTTACTAAATATTTGTAATTACATTTACCTTTTAAGTATACTTTATTCTTATTCATTATTGTTATATTCATTTCATCTAATATAATGGAAGCCACTCGTCTTATTTCATTCCAATCCTTGAGTATATCATCAACAGTTGTGTGCGTCGAGGTGACTGTGAATCGAATGACATATTTACCTTTTAGTGAGGATGGTATACAGTGCAGAAATCCACGGTGGTTTAAACGTTTTAATAATCGCTCAGTTATTTCATTGTCTCCCTTAATACGAAAAACTACTAAGCCTGAAATTAATAAATATTTTTATTAATATTATATACATCTGAAAGAATATTTACCTTAGAGAATATTTACCTTACCTTACCTTATATACATCTGAAAGAATATTTACCTTAGAGAAATATTTACCTACATATATTTAAGTAGTAAATATAATATTATATATAAGCAATTCACTCTAATGAACCCAAAATAAGTTTGGAGTACCTAAAATAAAATTGGCCACTCCAACTCGAACCTATTAGTTCGATTAACGGATATTAAAGGATCGGATAGGACAGAGAGAGAGATATAGAGAGAAAAAGGGAGAGAGATAGAAAGAGAGAGAGCATGAACATTGTTTATGTTCAGGATGTCTTAACCCAATAATCTCAATATACTTTTCATTTGTCTTTTCTTAAGTTAAATTAGATGTAAACAATGGTAAATCTAAGAATGGAAGGAAACAAGCTGGAAGGAACAGTTACAAAGAATATCGTAAAGGAGTCAAGATACTGACGGTTAAAAGTCACAAATATTTTTTCTATATTTTATATTTCTATATTTATGTATTCTATATTTATATTTTTCTACTACATTTATAGGTACTGCAGAAAAATCTAGAACCTACCCAAATATCTTTTGGCTGGTATCTCGAAACGGTGGTCTGCTAAGACCAATGCCTCAAATTTCTGCGCTAAGCGGACACCTTCACGTATGTGACGTTGTAAGCCTTTAATGCCAAACGAACGTAGAACGAACCAAATTTTAAGTGCTCTAAATCGACGACTCAATGGAATTTGCCAATGCATATAATCAACAGACACACCGGAATTTTCATGTTGTAAGTACAAAGGTTCTACATTAAATGTGCGATGAACTGCCGTGCTGTCCTTTATCCTATAATCAAATTGAGTTTAGTAATCATATTCCATTATTTTTAATAATTAATTACCATAATGCAGTTGCGTCAAAATGTATCATTAACCACTTTGAAGGATTAAATGCTATTGAGTCCACATACTCTATACCTTTAAGCCAAGTACGAAATTCTGGACAGATAAAAGCACTTCCAGCATAGGCAGCATCGACATGTAGCCACATATTATATTCGCGACATACGACTCCAATCTAAAAAAATATGGTTTAATGTATAGGTAAACAGCGGGGAAAGTATTTTTACTTACCTCATCTAGATTATCAAAAGAGCAGGAACCGGTAGTACCAAGTGTAGCGCAGACCTATTGTGTTTTCAAATAGACGTCTTAGTATTTGGAATTAAGTTATATATAATAATATCAAATTTATAATAAAAAATATTATATTTATAAAAATAAGAAAAAAGAGCTTGACATAGAGAACCCCAAAAACATATTTCTAATATATATTTTATTCAGTCAATTATATTGGTTCCACTAAGTAATATTATGAAAGAAATTTGATTATTAAGGTAGGACTTGGAGGTAAAAAAGCCTACTACATAGAGGTACAGGATAGCCAAATTGAACTGATATTGAATTCTCCTGTACCAACAGATAATAATGTTCAAAAAAATTTACATTTTTCGAATTTATTTCGAATTTTTGATATGTTCATCTTGATCAAGAAATAAGACACACACTAAATGAATATAATCCTAAATATATATATGTATACTTCATCCATTCATGAAGAAGGGCTTTGTTGAGCATAACAACACTGGTATTACTAAGAAGTTGATCAGATTTGCATCTGGTGACCATAGAAATTATGAGTGAATCGTTTTTTAATAGTCATTCTTGATTGGCTGAAATTTATAAGACGGTGAAATTTATAAGATGTTCACTCTCTCTCACCCAAATATTTGATTATACACGGTTTCATACCGATATTCAAGATTTTTTGCTGTTCATCGGTGTCCGCGTTTCAAAAACCAGGTAAACATCCATTAGTCGCCATTATTGATGACTGCTTAAAACAATGACAGACTTCTTAAAGCTATTGGAATGTCTGCATTGTTCTATAATCTCTCTTTTAAGTAAAGAAGACGATATTCTGCAATTTAAGGCATGAGAAGCTGTTCCTTCTTTGTTGATTTCCTTATGGAAATCATTTTCCATAGAGCAACTGACATGTCCCCGTGATCATTTGAATCTCAAACCTAGACGAATGGGTTTCTCTTACGCAAAGAAATATGTGCCGCTGATCTTCTTTTGAAAATGATAATTATCACTTTAAATAATAAATAGATTGACTGCAATAATATTAAAAACAATGGACCATAGAGCTGACATTCATAAAAAAATGTCTGTTTGGTGGGATTTCATAGAATCGTTGTTTTAATCTTCTATCAGATAATACAACGATTAAGTCTGAAGTAATTAAAATTAATTAACTAAAATGCAAACACGTCATTTTTACCTTAAATCGGAGAATATCTTCAACAATTTTACTAAATAACATTACTCGAAGTAGCTGTATGGTCAGCCAAAAATTCAATTAATTAAAATAATATAAAAAATAAAATTTTTGTTGTTGTAGTTCACTACTGTTCGAAAAAAACCTCTAAATAACATACCCATACCAAAAGCAGATAATATAACGTATGTAGCTCTTCACCTAGACCGGCGACTAACTTGGCGCAAACATGCTAAAGCCAAAACTACAAATGAAGCTCCAAGCCTCTAAGTTGCATTGGCTCAATAATAACAAATCCTCCCTGTGCCTTAAGTATATTGTGCTTTTATAAATCAATATCATAAAATCAATATGGACTTATGGTATTCAGCTGTTTGGTAATGCTAGTGCTTTAAATATAGAAATTATCCGAAGAGCTCAGTCAAAAATACTAAGAACCATCAGTCGTGCCCCATGGTATATTAGGAATAAAAACATCCACCGAGATCTACAAATTCCATTAGTAAAAGCTTAATTTAATAATATAAGAATAAAATACAATGAAAGGCTGTAAAATATATTTACCCCTAAGCTAGGAGTCTCGCACTTTTATCTACTACTTTAAAAACTGACCGTCCAAAAAAAACTGACCGTCCAGCCATTAATTAAAATTCATCTACTGAAAGAAGGTAAAAACTCTACTTTTTATTCGTGATCTGATGAAGCTTAATTGTTTTTTATAAACCACCTAACATTCATTTCAATGAAATTTACCCATTGATTTAAGTAAGGTTCCTAATATAAGATTTCCCGTTTTTATTTTATATTATGTCTCGTTTTCACTATGTCATTTTCAATGTCAAATATTATCAGTATAATGAAAACGGATAGTCATTTAATGTCATATTCGTATTCGTGTCATGTAATGAAAACGCATTTGACACCTCAGTCAATTATAATTGTCATTTAAAATGACATAGTGAAAACAAGGCAATAGTCTCATTGTAAGAGAAGATATAATCCGAGTAAATAAATATATACGTATAAAAACAAGGAAGTCTGATATAAGGAAGGAAGTCCCCTATAACTCTTAATTCACGAGTTTGACAACTCGCCAAAAATTTTTACAGTTTGAATGGGATAAGTTGCAACACCAACTATATTCTCCAGATCTGATACTTTCTGTTTATTATATATACCGATTTTTCTTGAATTTTTTAAAACAGTAAAACCTCTGCTTGAAATTAGAATGTCAAGAATCATCAGATTTAGTTGTTTGTCAACGATGACGGGGTTCATTAACGTCTACTGGAAAATAGTGTCTCTTTAATCTGAGAGCTTTTAAAAAAAATATTTAAATAGAATAAAATTTGTTAGAATACTAATGAAAATTATAAATTAGAATAAAATATATATATTCTAATAAATATTCTAATAAAGTAATAAAAAAATAGAGTTTAATTTGATATGTAATAATATCTATTTAAAAAGAAAAGAGTGTGGTTTAATCAGATTATCTCATAATAATGTTAGAGATAAGAGATAATATTCAAATCAATAGTTTTATGCGTTACTCAAATATTTATTTACTCAAATGTATCTTTTTAAACTAAATTGAAACAAACTTGAAAAATAATTTCAGCGTAAGGAATTTAATTTTTCCTACCATAAATGACACACTTTCTAACAATTTGTTATACTATACTACTCAATGAAATAAGAAAAGTATTTAAGCTAATTGACTTGCTCCCACACCCCCACACTTGCCTATCATCATGAAACGGTACTGTCAAGTTGCTAAGCCTTACCAAAGATTTTGACTTTTATAAATTGGTCCCTATGGGAGTTTTCTTGATGTCTGACGTTTTGGTGAAATTTGTGAAACAAAACCTCAACAAGAAAATAAAGTATTTTAATACAGAGCACAGCTGTCGGCGAGATATTATTTACTCAATTTTAATATCTTAATAATTAGTTTTTATATTAGGGTTTACCCAGAAGGGCACTAAGCCCTGTTTAATGTCATCCGCTACAGCTTCGCGTAAATGTTGACCACGCATCGCAAGATTTTCGTCAGCTTCAACAAAACGCATACGCACAAGACCTGTAAAATGTTGAAAATAGAAATAAATTCAAACAAAAATATAATTAAAAATATATTTTAGCAATAATTGGATATAGATACATTATGAAAAAATAAAAATTTTTTCAAAGCCTCACCAATCAAAGCAGCTTTCTCAACACTGGAATGCGCTTGATCTGAGCAATAGGCAACAAGTTGTGCATTGATTTCTGCATCCTGATAGCCAGGATTTTTCTCATGGTAACGCTGTATAGCCCGCGTTCTGCCTGCCAGTAAGCAAACCAATGTCGACTCACTTGCTGTTGTTTGAATAACGCCTCCACCTTTGCTATTATTATGTAAATGTAGGAAATCATCTGGTAAGCCAATCATCTTTCCCAACCAATTCATAACAATTATTTCGAGTTCTGTACAAGCTGGCGAACTGGCCCATGTAAAACCCAAACAGTTAATTGCATCGGCTAACATATCGCCGAGTAGAGAGGGAAATGAATTTAAGGCTGGAAAATATGCATGCATATGTGGACTTTGCCAATGTGTTATACCGGGCATTACAACTCGTTCCACATCACCAAATATTGTTTCCCAATTTTCACCTTCGATTGGCGCCGATTCCGGTAGCATACTTCTCATATATCCTGGCTTAACGTCGGGGAAAACACGACGATCTCGAATGTTCTCCAAATAGTCAGCAATGTAATCAACCATTTCTTTACCTATAGTGTACGAAGATAAATAAATTTTTTTTTATCTTCTCTTGTAAATCAATAATTATATAAAACTATTTCTTTTTCTTAATTACATATGGACCATTCTTTTACAAAGGGACGCCTAATAATCTCATCATCTCCGATAAGGTTGACATTTTTTTATAAGCTACTCCAATTAACAATTTGGACATCCAAAAATACCAGAATTTCAGGAAAAAATTTTTAAATGTTTTAAATTTTTTTCCAAGAGACGCAGTCGCTTTTCAGGAGAGTGAAGCCCCTTATCCCTTATTTCTCAAGTATGAAAAATATGTACATATCTGATATTACTCATATATTGCTGTTAGAGAGCAGATTTTCTGCGAATAAGATGACAAAGTCAACATTGGTCAGAATTCTTTCCGTTGGTAGAAGAATAGCCCATATACATCCTCTTTTGTAGGGGGAATTCTAAACCATTTTATTATCAAACTAATAATAAAATGCGGCATGTATAAGCGTATAACACTCGGTTTAAGTAAATTAATTTAATTTTATCTTTTATAAGTATTAGCTCTGAAAAGGTTGTCCGTGCCGGAAAGGGTTACTTAAAATATTTTCAATTTTTATTCTGGTGGAGATAATAAGCAATTTATATTGGTTTGGTTTCGGTTTCTGATCTAGCAAAAATGTCAGTTCTCTTCGATTTTTGACTCTTGTTCGAAACTGTGGTGGCGTCGAGGTTTCGTCGAGTTTACTTTACCCTAGGTCTACGCGTTAGAGTTAGAGTAACAAGTAACTGATAACTGATCTACTAGTGACATTAACATCCATAAAAAGAATCTGTATTTAGCGTACTGGGATATGACAGTCCGTACTTTTTTTAAAATGCCAAAAATATCAATTTCGATAGCCATTATCGCTGGACCCACATTAGTAATGTTTTTAGTTTAACATTACAGAAATGAAATTGGGAGATAAAGGATTTCAACAAAGTTGTTCTACAATATGCTTTCTTTTATAGTATTGGTGGTGTCGGTGTAAATTGACCATAAATATCATTCGATTCGATGTATGCTACATTAGGGTGCCATTAAGGTATATGGGCAATTTTTTTTTTGTAAAATCGATTGACGGCACCCCCCAGATTGGTTCATTTTACTAAAAAAATAATCTGTGTGAAATCTTAGTTCAATTGGATAAGTGGAAATGGTGCCCCAAGAGCCTCAAAGATTGGAAAATAACGATTTTTTCCATAAAATTCATCTTTGATTTCTTATATCTCCGACATATTTAATTTTACATAAAAACTGTCTTCCTAAAAGTTATAGATCTAAAAATAAACAATAAGTTATAGATCTAAAAATAAAAATAAACAATTCACTCATACAAAGTTTTTCTGTATTTCTAATAGTTATTGAATAAAAGCAAATACAAGCTGAAATCCCTCTATTAAATTTAGGTAAGTTCAATGAATGAATTGTCTACTAAATTTGCTAAAAAATAAGTCCAATACTTGTATAGTTATATACATAAGTGAGTTTCTGTATTATTCATTGGAATGCAATGTGAATTTGAATTCAAAGTGATTACATTAAAAAGTGTACAAGTCTGAAAGCTCAAATGTTGAACTATTTCAACGATTTCAGAAGTTTTGGCCGAAAATAAACGTTGATAACTTTACAGTCGGCTTAGAAAATAAAAAGTAAGAAAATCGTTAAATATGGATGTTACGAATTACTAGTTTCCTTTATAAGATTCGTAAGAATAACCAACCAAGAGATGATTATAGGGAACTTCTGGAACTTGCATTCATGTTTTTAGGAGAAAACCCGAACTGTACAATAAAGTTTCGACCTCCTGGAGCTATACATCATGCAAGATGGATGGTGAAAGTCATGCATGTATTAAAAATATTTTTATTTAGGAAAGAGTTTAAATTATCTACAGAAGAAGAAAATGCTCTTTGCGATATATGTATATTTATTACAAAAGTGTATGTTGAAGTATGGTTTAATGCTTTGTCATCAGTCAAAGCTCATTTTCAAGATTTTAATCTTCTTTCTATTCTCAGTCAATATCAAAAAATTGTATTTGGTATTTAAGCTCAAAGCTTGTTCATTTTGCTTTTTTAGATTTAAATATATCACCTGAGACAAAGAAAAAGATGGTTTCAAATTTGAATATAGATAGTGATGACAAGGAAGTCATCAAGATCGCGCAAAAATAACTGAAATCGTCGAAAAGGCAATTGAACAGTTTGTATACAAAAATACTAAAAACATTTTTAAAATTATGTCGGACAAACCTAGAATAAGTACTTTTTTATTATAAGAAAGATTAAATTTTGGAAATATTGAATTTATTTTAAATTTTTTAGAAATATTAAACTTTTTGTAAAGCTGAAGCCGACAATTACATTCATAGTACTTTCAAAGCTAGCAATCGGGTGACTTCAACTTATTTTCTATTTTATTCAATAACTGTTAGAAATATAAAAAAACTTTGTATGAGTGAATTGTTTATTTTTAATAGATCTATAACTTTTAGGAAGACAGTTTTTATGTAAAATTCAATATGTCGGAGATATAAGCAATCAAAGATGAATTTTATGGAAAAATCGTTATGTTCCAATTTTTGAGGCTCTTGGGCACCATTTCCACTTATCCAATTGAACTAAGATTTCACACAGATTATTTTTTTAGTAAAATGAACCGATCTGGGGGGTGCCTCGGGCAATTTTCCGACTTTCGAAAATTAATGGCACCCTAATGCTACATGGATTTTTTTTGATGATTCAAAGGATCGTATGTGCAATATTTAAACTCTTGAATGATTGAATACGATTATTCGTTCGATTATGGGCCGAATTGATTATGGCTATTTATGTACTATCAACTCATCGAATATTATCGCAAAATAATCCAGAGCTGTGAGATGTCTTGTGGAAAGCAAATGAATGGGGTTATATTTTATATTTGATGGAAAGTTCCAAACAATTTATTAAAACGAAAATCTGAACGAAATCTAAATCAAAGTTGTTTTCAACCCTATACTTATATTTGAGCTCTCAGCTATATCCAATGATATTTCAAACTACTTCCAAATTTATAACACATATTACAGTGTAACCTTATAATTGTATCTGACCTTTTAGCTTTATTCAATAGTATTAAAAGTTATGTTACATCCAAAATTTTAACAACCTATCCAGTTTTAAATGATGATGTCATAGAAAAAATAATTAGCAGAACTGTTGATACGCATATTTCTGTAACTACAATTCATTCTTCTCGGTAAATTCATGAAGGACACGGAAGAGCATAAAAATGTATTAATGTTATATGATATAATATATCGTAACATACCAAAATTCATACTATACCTATACTTTTTATATATATTTTATTTTTTCTCTTTTATTTTATTATATTGAGGAATGAAAAATTCTCTATTTAAGTTTGATTAGGTTCTACCAACGATTCAAAGGCACCCACTATGGGCCTCTGCAGTACCAGTACCAGTAGAGGGTTTTATGTGGCTGTGAAAACCGAGTGTATACATATTGGATATGAAAGTATATTAACTATAGATGCAGATACTGACGTCTAGAAATTGATGGTACTTATTTTTTGGCAATAAAGTATAAATTGTAACATACTCTGGATCATAGTTCATGTTAAGAAACAGGCGATATATATCGAGAGTGTTATATCGAGTAAATTATTCATAAGTAATAAACATATCGTCTAAGATTTATCAATTGGAAATGAAGAATACACTAAAAGTGAATCTCTATTTAAAAAATTACTCCAGATATACTTATCAAAACCGACTTATTATTGTATACCTCTGGGATCCTTTCTAAAAAACAATTTAGTAAATTATTTATCAAAATTTATTAGTTTTTAATCTGTAATCTGTAAGTCCCTGATGGTTCTATTTCAATTTTCTAGGATAGCCAAGCTGTCTTAAATCATTGACAGCCACTTCAGTCACATCAATTATTGCTCCAAATTGCTTCAGTAACTAAGCTAAACGTGTTGATGTCCATCTCATATGGGTTCCGGTGCATAGGGACATCTCGGGCAACTGTAGGACAAATGAAATTGTCAAGGCAGGCACTCTTCTCCCCTACATTTACTTCTCAAGTTAAGGTATTCCACTTGCTACAGTTAAACTGGCAATTAAATAAACATACCTGAGCATAGTCAAGCAACATTGGGCTGACGTACCCAGTGTAATATTAGGGGCTTAGCCAAATTCATAGCACGGTCAGGTTGCTTTTCCTTTATCTAATGGAGGAGTTGTTACCTTTTTTGGCGTTTCCTTTGGTAGCACAATGGGCTACTATTTGAGCACAAGTGAACTTTTTAGGCCGCCACTCCAATCTACCAACGAATCTAATGTGTAAGAAAAATTCTGGATGTGCCGCGTTGGAAGTAAATTTTTGACTATGGGCTTATAAACTTGAATATATTACCTCAACTAAAATATGCATAAATAAAAAAGTATTCAGATTTCTTATAAGAAATCAATCTATTATATTGATTTATTTTTATACACGGAACTGTTAGCTTGTTTAGCGATTTGTTATTATTCAAAAACATAACTATTTCTGAAATTTCTGACATATTTCTTTCACATTTTAAAATAAATTGTAAAATTTAAATCAATTCCCTTTCATTGCTGTAGTGAAATCCTTTAAAATTTATATACCATTAAAGGGCAAAAGGATTTTTGCAAATCAAATTAAATGAATTTTTATATGCAAATTAGCTTAGACCGATTAGAGCCAAGAATATTTTGTATATGTTACTTCAGCACTTCGCATAGAGTAAACTGAAATTTACTACTCTGGTTACACGGAGGAGGAGAATGCCTGTTAATGCCAATTGTTCCTTGCTCAGGCAGTGATTCAAGGATTGACCGCTGTGATTTTATTGCATGGGACAGTGTCTATTTACTCACTTAATTCCAGACTAAACGTTTTATTGCATTCAACATGAACATAAAAATGATATTAGAGAAGAAATGTATATGAGATGAAATAGAATTTAGGACAGTAACTTACCTCTTTGACGATATTCTGCAAAATCCATTTCAGCTGCTGTGACTAATTTTATTAAAATATTTTCGAGCTGCGTCGTGAAGATATTTTTTGTGGCAGTTCTGAACAAATTGTCGCAAACGATTTTTACCGAATAACCCAATTCTCTATTGTAACTAGTTTTGCACTACAAAAAAGAAAATCTAAAACATTTTTTAATTTAATTTTTTTTTATATTTATTTTTACTGATTCATGTATTGTTTAAATATTTACTTAATTGTTTTACTACTTAAAAGTGGCACAAATTGACTTTAACTCTTTTTTTATGGATTAAAAGAATTCTTTGGAAGTACTTTAACTGTGCCAGAAAAACTTTTACTAAAAACATTAACATTCGTTAACAATACGAACAACGATCCATACTATCCATACTATCCATACCATCCATACCAACGATACTATCCATGTTGAATAATGACACAAAAAGAATTGAACGTACTAGTATCTTTTATGGCTTCTGCAATGCAAAATTTTGAATGGAAATAACAAAAACAAAGCCGAAAATCTAATAAAATGTGAATGAATAATAAGAATTTTCCAGCGTACGAGTATGACAGCTGCGAAAATATTTTCTGAGGAAACTCACTGTCATAGTTGGTCAAAGTACGTTCTATGTATAGGCCGTACTCATTCAAATTAACCCTAGTTAATTATAATATATGTACAATTCGCAAAAACCCACTTACAATTGTTTGGGAGTGTTAGAAGGGTTAAGGGTTGGCTGCAAATGATTTATTCATTTGAAGTTTACTATACTGGTTGACTGACAGGTAAGCTACTAGAGAAAATAGCTACTATGAAAATAATCGCATAACTATTGGATTTGTCTGCCGGTGTCAATTACATGTTTTTCTTTTTACTTGTAAAATAACGTAAATATAGTACATTTATTGTGTATCTACTGTGAATAGTAATAAAGTCTATTAATAAACATTTGTAAAACTACTTTCGGTTTTCACACAGAAATACTTAAATATTTTTCATCATATTTATTGGTAAGCTATAGCACAGACAACTTATATGACTGGTATATAATTGTTCTGTGATTATATTCTAAATAAAGGAACGAAATCTGTTCTATTAATTATCATATGTATAAACTTGAACAGTTAAAAATAAATTAATTACTACAAATCCAGAATGTTTATATGATTTGAAGAAAAAAATCATATATTAGCATTATATCTAATGCTAAATGGCAAGGAATATTTTTTGTGAGCTTGAACCCATAAAAAACTTTCAGTTAAAAAATTGTCCATAAATCAAAAAAGTTCATTTAAACCTAACTTATAACACGGTATTTCTGAGTTATCCTGAGAAGCAATACCTCGGTCCAAAATATGAAAAATCGCATAAAAGTTTAGTTGCATCTTCAATATTTACTAAGATATAAAGTTTCAAAAAAAATTTATGAAAAAGAGTTTTTTTTGAGAAAAAACTTTCAATATATTACAAACGGGCTTATAAACGCCGCATAAACATAGCATATCGACTTGTTTCGTGAAATAGTTTCCTTGTCCCAAAAATGAAAAATATCGTATTGGAGGTTAGTAGCATCTTCAATATTAACTGAAATACAGAGTATCAACTTTTTTGTGAAGATTTCTCTTTGTAGATGCTCTGTATATCAGGAAAGATTATTAGGATAGCGACAGCTTATCCATGTGATTTTCAGTTTTTTGGATTAACGATTTATTTTCCGCAATAAGTGGGAAATGCCCAATTTACATTGGATTTTAGAAGACAGTTTGAATCAACCGTTTTTGATATATTTATGATTTATGGACTAAACGTTTATTATATTGTACACAGTTTTGAACCCCTGTATTTCGATAAGTAAACAAAAGATAAAAAGAATTTGTTGAAACACGAAAGAACTTGTGACTGAAATGTTTTGCTCTAAATAGGAGCCAAACTTTTTATCTTCCATCCATCTAACTAAAAAAGGAGTTTAAATAAAAGAACTAATACTTTTTTCTAAGAAAATTAAATGATTAAAGAGGATTAATTACATAGTTTTTTCATAGTATAATAATTTTCCCATAAATGCCAGCAATGATAAGAACCTAAGCAACCTATGTTGTGGACCAATTAAAAAGAAATTTTCGATTTTAATTCAATGATAATCACCCTACTGTATTTTCTGGGTTTGGGTTTTCAGCCTTGTTTTGGTCTGATAAAGTTCAGATAGTCTATCTTTAACTGCAGAGTAGATTTTTGCGTGTTTTTCTTAGAGCATGACATGGTGAACTTTATTTATTATATCACACACCTTCTATTATTACCTTCTAATGTACGCTTAATGTTGAAATTTTATTAGGTTTCGAGGTTATAGTGTGAGATATAGATCAGTTAAGATCATCAGTGTAACTATAAGTGCAGGTGTTTTACAAAGCAGTATCCTTGGTCCACTAGTTTACATCAAATATATTTTTTTTTTTTTTTTTTTTTAAACTTCATTTTATTAAATACAATCTATTCTATTCATGAATAATAAGTACTACTTATGGCAATAACAATATAAGATTGGCATGTACGGGACTACCCAGTGGTAATCACCGCCTTATGAAGAATTACAATTTTTTAAATATATGTGCAACTAATTGTTTTGTCTCCTCTAGTTTTGCCGTCGACATAGCAATTTTGTGTCACCACAAAAATATTGCAAATGTTTTATTGCAAGTTGAATTTTATCCAGTTCTGCTATAATAATGGCTTTCAAATCGAATATTAAAGTTAATAAAAAAGTATTACCATGGCATTTTCACTCTAAATAGCGGTATTTCTATCCTAAAAATATCATTAAATCCTTTTCCAGTATCTAAATCATAAAACGTGATTAGAAGCTGTTAAACTACACTGAATTCTCAAAATTGAATTACCATTAAGTTGAGTGCATACTGTTTTTTTTATATATATATAATATAAAATAATTTGTATTTGAATCATTAAAGCACTGTAGACGTACAGTCATTAAAAATGGAATATATACAAAGGTGGTATTCACGAGCAGGAATAATAAGTTCTGTAATTAAGTAATATGGTAACACTTCGCACCGTTAGTACATATCTTACTGAGTTCGCCCGCGAGATTTTGATACCCCTAAAGATCTTTAAGTTCCTATGGTGAGATCAGAGATCAGAAAATTAAACAAATATAAAACAACTAAATCGTATGATTTTACAAAAAAAAACTAAATCTCTTGTTTAAAATCTGACTACTCCGACAAATGTCAAAACTAATCTCATATTGAATTATTTTTTATTCTTATTGTAACTATATATTATATATTATATAATATATGGCTATATATTATCTCCTACTCTTGCAGTTTTGTGCTGTGCAACAATATTAAATCCTCAAACCACAAAAGCCCTTCTATTCTTCCTAAGCTAGTCATAATTAAACAGGGGTCAGTAGGAATTCAGTAAGAATTTTTTATTAAATAGTTAACTTATAAAAGTTTATATTGCATATAATTTTATAATAACAATTTAGTTAAATAATCACTAAGTGTTCGATTTTGGGCACTAAGTGACTCTTAAAGTTTAAATGTACACGACTTTACATAGTTATAAATCGGCTCTGAAGTATGTATTATGTTATAAGTGAACTAACATAAATATCAATTTATAAATTTTAATAACATAATATTAAATTAAAAATAAATATTTAATAATATTTATAATTTTTCAAATAATTTGTGTTTAATATTAATATTTATTAAATTAATACTTTATTAAAAATATTGATTGAATGAAATAGATTTGTAGAAAAAGGAATAAAGTCATGAGTGAGCAGGAAAACTTGAAAATGGTCTTTAAATATTATTTTAAAATACTATAATATTTAGACATTTTTATAATAAGATACCAATAAAATAATGTTGAATTACTTTTATTAATAATTTTGTATTTCAACGGGCCAATTTTCAATAGTTAAATAATAAACTTTTTAAATTCTTTTCGTTTTTATTAAAGATTTTATATAAACCAATCACCTGATAGTAAGCTGATGATGACTATAGAATATAGTTGAAATATCGATTTAAATAAAATCTTTTAATAAAAAAAAATTTATTATTTTAACTTTTGACCAATTACTCCGTTTAATAACAAAATAATTATAAAAAAAAGTAGCAATAAAATAATATATATAAAATATATTAAATAATAAATTGTTTGAGCGGGCTAATTGGTCAATTTAAAAACAAAATAAAAACTATAATTTATTATTTATATTTCAACAAGTTATATTTTAATAAAATATTATTCCTATATTTTGACTATCTTCGATATCTTCATCAGAGAAACTCTTTCCTAGAGTTTTCTACAATTTTCCCTGAAAGTTTCCCTGAAGTCGAAAGATAGTCGAAATAATAAAATAATATTATAATAAAATATAACTTCTTCAAATATAAATAATAAATTATAGTTTTTATTTTGTTTTTAAATTGACCAATAAATCCGCTCAAAAAAATTTTTATATAATATTTTAGGTCACAAAAAAATAATATAATATTTTAAAATATATTGAATTTTAATAATAATATTTTCTTCTTAAAATAACAGATATTAAAATAACAATATTGTTATAAACTAGCCCTCAACGTGTGAAATTTTTTTTTTTAATTTTTTATATAGTAGTACTGTAGACATTGCATGGAGGATGGGAAGAGAGGAATCACCAATACATCTTCTGTTATAGTGCCTTGCTGTCGCAAGACATAGACTTTCTTACTTAGAGTCACACTTTTTTAATTCGCTAAGAGAGCTCAATTCTATTTCCCTAGCTCTTATCAAAATGGTTATAGTGATAGGTGTCAAATTCTTAAGGGTATCACGATCAAAGTACGTCTTCGGGCGGCCCCAGTACTCTAACTTAACCTATGTACCTAACTAACAACCAATTAAAATTATTTCTTATAAGTATATATCCTTTTAGAAATTATGATATTTTTAATAACCACTTTACCATAATTATGTTTAAGTAAAGGACTATTGCAAGAATGAACCGCTTTGGTGTGTATCGACAGGTCCGGTCAGCTTGATAACTTCTTCTTCAAGATATTTTAATTTTTATTCAAAACCTTTATATTAACTAATTTAACACTATAACAATA